CTCTCTCTCTCTCTCTCTCTTTCTCGGGGCAAACTAAAAATTTACTAAATTTCCCTTCTATTTGTACAGGACATTATTATTAGGACAATGTCCTGTATACGCAATTCCGCTTTAATTTCACGTTTACTTAAAGTGGGAAAAAAAAGTCGCTCTTTTTCGTTATAATTTCGCGGAATTTAGAGTGGACATGTTTTGCAGTGTAATTCCGCGAAATATGTAGCCAATCAATATAGCCGTTCCACAAAAGCTGCAAGTTGATTGGCTACGCATTTTTCAAATATCAGTTCTACAAGAAAAATAATATGTAATGTAATTTAATAAGTTTCTACTAAAATTATAACAATTTTGAAAAAGTTAGTTGCGCGCGCGTGTGTGTGTGTGTGTGTGTGTGTGTATGTGTGTACATACATGTGAGGAATTGAGAATAATATTGTATTATATATAATAGTATATATCTGTATTTCCTTAACTGATTGTGGTGATAAATGCTTATCACAAGGACAGCGCAAGTGCATAATAATCGCATGAGAATAGAATGGTCTTTTATCTACCGCTATCATAAACATGTAGTAGACGGAACTTGAGGTAACCACAGTGATATTCTTGCGGTTTCTTATTTTTTCCGATTTACACATAAGACTCAATTCACGCAACGTATAAAAAGGTAAGCGTTGTTAAAAAGCACAGTGTTAAATTCTCATTGCTCGAAACAATCACAAATCTCAATTTCAAACGTCAAATTTTTAATTGTACATTTTTCCCTATCTTTATATAAAAAAAAGTTAACAATAGAAATTCAATATTCGCAATCTGTTTTCACTTGTGAATAAAAACTTTCTCTGGCACATATGCGACACATTGCACACCAATTTTGATTGGTCGTTAGAAATGTGCATTGCATCATCGACGAACCAATGGAACCGAATATGCCAAACTAAAATCTTCGTCATATCTTTTGACATAACTGACGTAACATCTTGGAACAGTTAAAGGTAAATGTTTAAAGCTACCACTTTAAATTTTCATGAAAATACGACTCAAATAATTTCATTCTGTGGGAAAAGCAATTTCGAAAACAAGAATTACTCGTCACTCGATAATATGAAAGATAAGTGTTAACCTGTTCAGTACTATCGTCGATTTTATTTGACAGCTACTAAATGATTACGACCGCACGTCTATTTCAATTAATGCGTATTAAGTAACCCAGCAAACACAAAGTTACCGAAGTCGACCAAAGTTACCAAAGTCGACCAAAGTTAAAATTTCCTACTCAACAATATAACTGTTATACATATAACACGTGTGTTATGTAACAGTTATATTGTTGAGTAGGGAATTTTAACTTACAGTTATGTAACTGTTACTTTGTGTTTGCTGGGAATATTCAATTTTACATTTAAATGCTTTTAATCAATTTTTCTATTTATTAAAACTAAATGACACTTTTTATACAAATCTATAACTTTGGTTGGTATTCATATTCATACCGTTCTTGGGATGGTCTTAAATAATATCTTAAAATGCTAACGCGGCTTTGTAATTGGTTTACAACACCTTAAGATTATTGCTAATGAGCTTATAAAGTATAAGAACGAGCTATATTATAAATACCAGCCTTTGTCAGAGAACTTGTATTATTACAGGCTTCAATACAGGATTGCCACTAAACTGATCACTTTGTCGTTATTTTTTATTCTAAAGATAAGGGACAACTTGCACGCGTCACATATACATGTGCTTACGTAAATCACGCAATATACATACGACAGCATGTTACGTGCGAAATGTAATTGCCATGAGCAGTCTAGATAATTTAGAAGTCTATGACTACGTTTACACGTCACCGATAAGATTTAGTAACATCTAGGTGTCGATTGGTAGGCGTTCATTGATCGTGTGACGGTAAGTATGTAGGTATAACTACTGGCAAAAAGTATCATATAAACGCTAGTTAAATCCGGTTTTATAACACCTATAGATGTTACTTTAAACCCGATTAGTGATGACGTGTAAACGTGGTTGTAATCATGAAGACAGCTATAGACTTTCAGAGCCATTTCGACCAAACTTGGATTCATTCAGTACTAGCTGTTTTACTCAGCTAACGAGAATATTGCCAACGTGACAAAGAAAAATATTTTTTCTGTGAGAAAGATAACAAGTTCTCTTGTCGGCAGTAATGCTGTTGTTAACACTGAAAATTAATTGTTGACTACTTTAACCGGAGCTTAGTTAAAGCGAACGAAATATATATAAATGACACACACAGATGGAGGATCAAGAAGAAAAAATCAAGGTATGCGTGATCGGTGCTGGCGCGGCTGGTTTGTGCGCAGTCCGACATTTGGCGGGAAATACGATATTCGAAGTAACTGCTTACGAACAAACGAACGATATAGGAGGTACGTGGGTTTATAACGAACAAGTTGGCCTCGACGAGAATGGTTTACCGATACATTCCAGCATGTATCAGAATCTAAGGTTTGATATTCTTTATTCTTACTATATGCATTTTAAAACGTATTGGTATATAAACTAGAAATTATTTTGATAATTTGCGAAATATTTTAATAAGCTCATATTTCCTTCAGACGCACAGGACGTCGTTTTGAAATAATACTCATATCTGGATTAAAATCTTAAAAATAATACGTTTGTTATGAAAATTAATTTTATACAAATAATTTTATTACTAAAGCTATTTAGTTAAGTGGCAAGTAAAAAGAAAGGGAGAGGAAAGAACTGAAGGAGAGAGAGATGAAGAAACGAATAGTATATTGAAGCCATTTTCAAGATTTAAAGATTGATATTATTTTTTCAAATAGTATTTTATATTTTCCTTTAAGTAAATCGATTTTTCTTACCGTCTTTATCATTATGGTCATTATTGCATGTAAAATATTATCTGTACAACAACGCATATATGATTTATAAGACTCGGGGAAAATATTAAATTATATATTATTAATATATTATTAATGCTCTGTGAATATAACATCAAGTAGTGTCTTTTGTTCTTCTCGGTAGAACCAATTTACCCGCAAAAATTATGAATTTTCCGGATTACATTACAATGGAAGGGCGACAACCCAGTTGCGTGAGCCATCAAGAAGTTTTAAATTATCTGAAAGATTACGCTCAACATTTTGATGCGCAACAACATATTCGTGTAATTTCATTATTTCATAATTACAAATATGTCAGAAGGTACTATTATTTGTTCAACCAGCAATTAATTTCTGTTCTACAGTTCAATACAAAAGTCGAGGATGTTCGATTTATATCATCCGATTCTCGCAATCGAGATAAATGGTCTGTGCAAGTGAAAAAATTAAAAACAAACGAGACGGAATTACGTTATTTTGACGCGATTATGGTTTGTAACGGGTAAGAAATTGCACGTGCTGCATTGAAGATTATCAAGACTTTACGGTGCTAAATGGGTAATTTTATAATCTTTTCCAGACATTATTTCGATCCTTATATACCGACTATAACTGGTATCAAAAGTTTTCCGGGTCTAATACTGCACAGCCATGCATACAGAAAACCAGACGATTATTCCGGCAAAAAAGTTTTAGTGCTGGGTGCAGGTTCATCTGGTATCGATATAGGTATTGATTTATCTAATAAAGCGGCCTGCGTGTATTTAAGTCACAATAATGATAGGTGAGCGATCAATGGGTTTATATTTCTACACATTTGTAAAAATTAACTGACAATAAGATTACGCTAAATCTTTAGATACGCCGCGTTAGAAGCAAAATTAATTGACGATTTCTACCTTGATTAATTATTTGTGCTTCACAGATTAACAAGTACTTTACCATTAAATATGATACAAGTTGCGGGCGTTGAGAGCATACACGAGACCACATTTCATTTGAAGGATGGAACTACTGTCAATGCTATTGACGTTTTTCTTTTGTGTACTGGTTACAAGTACAATTTTCCCTTCTTAGACAAGAACTGCGGTATACAAGTAGACAGCAATTATGTAACTCCGCTTTACAAGCATTTCATCAATATCGAGCATCCTTCAATGTGTATCGTCGGTATACCTACAGTTGTCTTGCCGTTCCCCATGTTTCAGATGCAGGTATTTCGTATTGTCCAACAATGCAATCAAACAACCTCGACAAATTACACATAACTTAACAATTGCAATTGAACATTGTCTGTATAAATGATAAAAAAGAAGAAAATATTCGTCTAGCACAAAATTTATGTAAATATATGTATGTACATATGCAGGCTTTTTTAAAATAATGTTCACTAATTATTCCTTATCAAAAATTTAGTTGAAAAGTTCTGAATTTTTTTTACGTTTAATAAAGCAGAAGTTATTGAGTAAAATTAAAGTTCTTTAAAAGACTAATATTGGATATTACTTTTTAATACAAATTCATGCTATACTTTTTCACAAAGACGAAACAGACAAACATCAAACAACCTCGACTAAACAATTGGCCCTACTGTGAATTTTCAATTTCTGACATTTGGCTTGCAAATGCGACTTTGTGAGAAACATTCGTCTAAATAAAAAAACAGCAGGACACATTTAGTAAGAATTATTAAGTCTTCAAAATAATGTGTGGCTTCTATTGCCATTTAAAGTTTTTTAAAAGATAGTCACCCTAATCAAGAGATTAACTAGTTATAGTATGATTATTCAATAAATTTATTTATAATTTCATTACAATTTAATTCAATTCTTATTAAATTATACGCACAAATTAATATAATATTTTGAATTGTTATACTTCTCAGGTGCAATTTTTCCTAGCTGTGCTTCAAAACCGAGCGACTTTGCCTACGAAACTTGTAATGCTAGAGAATGCCACCTTGAAAGCCCCAAAGAAGAGACATGCGCATAAGCTAATGAATCACCAATGGGATTACAACAATTCATTGGCAATTGCTGGCGGATTTGATCGACTACCAGCATTTTATCAACTCGGCTACAAAGCATGGTCAGTTCAAAGATCCATGAATCTTTTACGTTACAAGGATTCCAAATTTGTTGTTTCTGAAGATGGACAAAGCGTTGAATTAGTTATATAATTATATACCAGAATAAGATTTCATAAAGTTTTACAATGTTAAATATCTTTTAAGTATTCTGATAACGCAGTATTTTAATTGTGGACCAATAAAGATTATCTTTTAAGCATTCTGACAACACAGCATTTCAATTGTGGACTAATAGAAATTAATAAATTTGATATGAGCGCAGACTGATATAATTACCATGTGTATTTATGATATACTTTAACAAAATTTGTTTCGATACATACGATAATAAATTTGTTAACGATACATTCTGGTATTCTTTTTAATCCAATGGTTAAAGAATAAGGCATCTGTATATACACCAGGCGAGTTCCTTTCGGCACAACCGTCTCCCCATGAAGTTATACCGAGCAGAATATTGTCAGGACCCACTATTGGCCCACCAGAATCACCCTACACCATATAAATAATAATATGTAGTAAGCATAAATAATAATTAATAACAATCGTTCGATTACGTTTACATCTTACTTGACAGGCGTCTATGCCTCCCTCTTGATATCCGTAACATGTCATTCGTGGTGTCACTACGAATCTATTCATATAATATTCCTGGCATTGCCTGTTACTTATTCGCGGCACTACTGCACATCGCAGATTTTCCGACAGAAGTGGTATGAGAAAATGGTAGAATTTCTATATATTACATAAAAGCTCAAGTTTTTACATGCACGGTAGGCAAATTGTTTTTTTATTTACTCAAATGGTGATGTGTGCATGTGCGTGTGCGTGTGCGTGTGTCGCAATACTTTATCATGCGTATGTTACCAGATAGAGTCCCCAACCGCAGATTTTACCCCATTTCCTACATGGAGTACATCTCTTCGTTGCCAAGTTAACCGCGTTTGTGTGATCATTAAATACAAACGCAGGCGTTACTTCAATAACAGCGATGTCATAATCATTGATTATGTAGTTATACTTTTCATGTATGAGAAACTTGGTTACATTATGACCGATACATTTTTGGTGAAGAGCGGTAGATCCACTGCACAAGGTAATCTCTTTAAGATTTTTAGTTCTATAATATGAAGTATCTGTTTAGTAAAGATTATTGAAGTTTTTAATATTTTTAAACTTGTCATTTTACTCACGTATATATACAGTGAGCTGCTGTCACAGCCCATTTCTCGTTTATTATAGCTGCACAACACACGTGTTTATTATTTCTTCTCAATGATAACTAAAAGATTATAAATGTATATTTTACATAGATATACAGGGTGAGTCTTTCCATATCCGACAAAATTTTTGAGAAGGTAGAACGGATCGAGATGAACGGAAAAGTCCTGTACCATTTTGCAATTTTCGTAATAGTTAACGAGTAATTAATTATTAAAAATCGTTGTCTTAGGCTGGCCTACCGCCCAATTCGAGCGCGTGGCGAGATGTGCGCATAGCAATATCGATCGCCAAGCGGTCACATCTTGCCACGCGCTCGAATTGGGCGGTAGGCC